CTCAGAGGCTGTCAACAATAAGTTGATCTCGTGAGTAGCTAACACTCGACTTCATTGTATATAATCTACCTCTCGGTATTCTATTTACTTCATTTTAACAATCGAAAATTCATTCTTAAAGCAATAAAATCCTTTTCCATTTCATCATCATATATTCATTGAACTGGGATATTGATAAAACGTGTATTATTTCAAAATTACATATATTTGAAATCCTTGTAAGGAGACAATAAAAAACAGAACTTCCCATTCATATTGGGGCTGAGATAAGAAACTAATGTTGTCTTTAATGAGTTTGTAGGTATCATTGCTAAATTTTGATAATTTTGAATAAATTAAGCATTGGGTAGATTGGGATATTACAAATATATTATTCATCTGTAATGTTGTCTTTATTTCAATAACATGGTTTTAACTAAAAACTATTATAGAAGTAAAAACACAATTGTTCGGTGAATTTCTGATACGTGTTTTATTATCACTGCTAAAGTTTTAAGACCATAGAGTAGTTAGTGATAAGTTATCTCTACTAATTATACTAATCGATATCATGTTAATGGGATGTAAAAAATATTGAAGATATTTCCTACTTTAATGGTTATGATTACTTCTGTCGATAAATTCAGTAATTAGATTCATCTAAATATTTGTTGTTTAAATAATCTATCCAGTTGTAATAAAATTTTACTGCTCAATTGTTTAGTAGTTTAATCAAAATATCCTGTGAGTAGAAAATATGAAAATGTTCGACTCTTATTTCCATGGTTCCTGAAATATGGATAACCGATCATATATTGAACAGATTAAAAGGAAACAAGTATCGAATATATAAGAACTTTCGTTTAAGTTAAAGCGAATAGTTTCACAGTATTTGAGCGCCGAGTTGATGTAAGACATCAAAAAGGAATAATATATTTGTAAAATCTCAGCGAATGAATTAATTCCTTGAAAAAGATTGAACCAGATTGCCAGGCGAAACGTTGGGTTTACTTCAAATTCATTCGCTGAGATTTTACAAATATATTATTCCTATTTAAGTATCGAATCGTTTATAAATAAACAACTGTATAACTGTATTCGAGAACAATATGTGAAGTTAATCGGAAAATTAATTCTCAATAAAGAATCATTTTAAAAGTTTAACCATTATTTTTGTCATGTATCAATGAATGTTAAGTTTCATATAAATTCATCAACATGAGGCCCTACATTTCATTATACAGATTGTTTCTAACCATCTGATATGACTAATATATGCATCGGTATTTTTACATATATATATGCTCTTTGAGAGTAGTATATATGATACAATGCTAGATGAGTCATAAGCTGGGTCGGATTTGATTTGGAGATGAGCCAAAACTCATGTTGGAATGCTGATACTAATGATAATAATATGCAAAATCAACTTATCTTATTATACTATGTTAGTATTCAATATGTGCTTTCTAAGATGTTTATATATATATATATATATATATATATATATACATGTGATGATTAGTGTTTAGTTGTAAACATACATTTGTGTATTGACCCACATGTGACAATATCTTTGACTTATTTTCAGATTCAAGGTCATATTATTGACAGTTAGAGTAAATACAAATATATTTATTATTTCTTAGGTTAATATTTAAAAATAAAACAAAATTAGACATTTATCTCATGTGAACTGTTTATTTATTTGTGAATAATGTTCATTTTGAATATTTCCCCCTTTAAGAAATCCCGACAGGATAACGAATTCAGATTTGTTGCTTAGGTAAACATAAATGAAATAAAAGTTGGTATTAACTTAATCTCATCTGGAGTAGAGAGCGAAGTGTGGACATAATTATCTGTTTCTACCTCTCATTCATACACGCACAAATGACAAGCTATTTAGTTATTCTTTCAATATTGAATTTCTTCTTAGATTAAAAAAATATAGTTCAATCTTCACTTCAGTCTAGACACTGACTGGTTCACTAGGCTTTCCCTCAAATAGCTCTTATAATTCGAGAATTAAAAATAAAAGCTAAATAGCCGGTTCAGAAAAATTTAATTTTAGGACGAATTATGTAGGAAATAATTCTAAGTGAGAATTCATCCCTTGAACGATTATTACTTACTAATCACTTTCATTCTCTGCTAATCAGTGATATCAGTCCAGAGAAGAAAATGCGAATAGTAAAATTCATTTTCAAGTGTAAACTTGAACTATACACTTAAAGGCTACATATTTTTTCGGGATCGATCAAACTGTATAATGAAGATAATCGTCAACTCGCTTAAAATCTCGAATACATATTCGGAGAAATTTTCTGCAGCTAATTTACAATTCTTTTTCTACGATGAATAAGTTGTGGTCATCGGTAAATAGTTCTACAAATTTTATTTACCATTCTGTAAGTTTTTTTCTTAAATCCAACTATACATCCTGTTGTTTTTAAATCTATAAAGATGCATTTTGAAAATAGGGACCAACCGTGTAGGATGTTTAGCAATCTACTGAAAATGTAATCGCTTCTGAACTATATATAAGATGAATATGGATTTTCTTCACGGTAGTTCTCGTTGCATAAGAAGTAATTTTTAAACATACAAACGAGTAATAAGATAAATGTTAGGAGCTTTGTAACATATTATTTATTTGAACACATAAATATTGGTACAAAGGGGCACCAGATATATATGCACCACACGAAAAAATTTCATTTCATTTAATTGTGTTAAGGCTATGATACTGCCCGAGTCCCCAGATCGAAGCAGGTGGTTTCCTTAGGGGGCCACTCCATAGCCTTTGACCTAAAGGTCTGATCCACAAGGCAGTGGAGAAACATAAGGAGATGTAGTCCCATGGTAGCCGGTGACCAACGACTAATTCAAACGCCATTTCTTCCCTCAGGATACTGGAGCCCATGTACACCATCGGTTTGGAATCAGGGCTTTCCAACTCCCCTCGGTGGACTCGCGGTGTTCACCAACCCGGTTAAAGCTCCGAACATTCGCTTTTCGTGCTCTCAATTTCGTAAACAACACCTCCGCTGTGAGAAGGCAGTGAGTAGGACTTTCGTGGCAGAGGCTATATACACGTGGCCGTGTGTGAGTATTTCGAGAGCGAGGGCGGGCCCTCCTCACTCTCGGCCATACCAGGGCATTTGAGGGCATATAAATGATTGATTAGTTAATTAAGGGACTTGATGATGATCTTAAAGAAATATGATAAGGATTAAGAAACTAATGTGACATAAGGAACGGTGGAAAACTATCTCATCAAGATACCGAAGAAAGGAGATCTGAGCAAATGTGAGAATTACGGAGGCAGAATGTTGCCGAATCGGATGAAAGACGCAGTAGACGTCCAACTTCCAGATCAAGTGGCTGGATTCCGTAAGGATCGGTTGTGCACAGACCGAATTGCGACACTACGGATCATCGTTGAACAATCAGTTGAGTGGAATTCATCACTATACATCAACTTCATTGACTATAAGAAAGCGTTTGACATGGTGAACCGGAGAACATTATGGAAACTTCTTCGACACTATGGAGTTCCTCAGAAGATTGTCAACATTATCCGGAACTCATACGACGGACTATAGTGCAAAGTCGTGCATGAAGGACAGCTGACAGATGCACTTCCAGTAAGGACTGAAGTCAGACAAGGTTGTTAACACCCCCTTCCTCTTTCTTCTGGTGATTGACTGGACTATGAAAACTTCGAAATCTGAGGGGAAGCACGGAATACAATGGATATCTCAAAACCAATTAGACGATTTGGACTTCGCAGATGACCTAGCCCTCCTATCTCATACACACGAAGACAGCAAATCTAACAGCAGCCTTTGCAACGATAGGCCTCAACATACACAAAAGAAAAAGCAAGATTCTCAAATACAACACGGAGAACACCAACCCAACTTGATGGCAAAACTCGAGAAGAGGTGGAAACTTTCGCGTACATGACATGGTCAATATCATCGATGAACAAGGAGGATCTGATGCAGACGTAAAAGCTAGGATTTACAAAGGGCAGCATTCCTGCGATTGAAGAATATATGGAAATCAAAACAACCACCAACCAATATCAAAGTCACAATCCTCAACACAAACGTCAAGACAGTTCTGCTGTACAGAACTGAAACGTGGAGAGCAACTATGGCCATCACCAAGACAGTGCAAGTATTTTTAAACATTTGTCTACACAATATACTTAATGTCCTTTGACTGGATACCATCAGCAACAGCCTTTTGTGGGAGAGGACAAATCAACTTCCAGCTGAAGAGGGAATTAGAAAAAGACGTTGGAAGTGGATCGGATATACATTGAGGAAATCACCAAACTGCATCACGATGCAAGCCCTAACTTGGAATCCAGAAGGAAAGCGGAAAAGAGGAAGGTCAAAGGACACATTACGTCGGGAAATAGAAGCAGATATGAAAAAGATGAATAACAACTGGAAAGGATTGCCCAGGACAGGGTTGAATGGAGAATACTGGTGGTTGGCCTATACTCCTCAACGAGGGGTAACAGGCGTAAGTAGAAGTTAAGATAAAAGCGCGTCTGTAGTATTTAAAAGAAACAAATACAGATGTCAATACATGATTCTTAAACCAGATGTCCTAGGGAATATTTAAACCTCTGCTTATCAATCGTTTAACAGCTAAAAGCCCAAAAATAATATAAGTCAGGCAGTTACCAGGATTTAGAACACTATAAAGTTATCTCTATGTAATGTATCAAAGCTTGAGAAATATCCAATGATGCAGCGACATTTATACCATAAAAAATTTATCCATTGAAACCTCATTAGTAAATCTCACACAAAAGATGATTACCATACCTATTTCATGTTATTCGTCTATTTATGGGAAGTGAATCATTGAAAAGGCGAAATCCACTCGTGGCAGACATAGATACGTTGTACCTTCGAAATGAAAAGTAACTCAATATTGAAAGTAAAACTGCTAAATTACAGATCGATTATTACATGTCAGACCGACTATTAAGTAGAACCAATCTGTGTTACACTCAAGTATTTACCTATTTGTAGGTCGAACGTGACTAAAACAATACGTTTTGTTCAGAGTTAAATTAGCCATAGTTTGTCATAATCTTTTATCTTGTACTTAACAAATCTATGCCATACTCAACCTAATGTACTAATGAAATGATTGGTGTGAAAGATCTGATAGTAGATTATGCCCAATGCGACTTATGGTCACAATATATTGATTCCTTTTTAACTTAGCGCATTTCACCATACTAATTAAGTGATGTATCATTACAATTATACACTGACTTTCAACCCTTACTTAATTACGCGTATGAAAAAACCAAAATACTCAAAGTATGTACAAGAAAAAAAACAGATCTAATATGTACAGAACTTTTGGTGTACACTTCACAATATATCAAACAAGTAACTGGAAATCAAGAGTACACTGCAAAGTGAGTTGAAACGAAAATGATTTGAAACTACAGCATATATATATATGTATATATATGCATATAAATTTGTAAAGGCCATTAAAGTAGTGTGAGCAATTTTCATGAGTACATAAAGCCATTAAAAAAACATACACACGCGCACACACACACAGAAGTGCATAGGAGATGAGAAGAACAAGAAAAAAAAAGTATCAGAAATAAAATCAGAAACATTTTGTTAGTCGTTTTTTTTAGTTGAAAAAAATAATCATCATAATGAAACTTGTCAAAGCAATTAAAATTCTCAAAGACATGAACCAGAAACCAAACAAATACATTTTTTAAAGAATATTGAACAACTAAATTATTAGTAATAATAATAATAATGGGGTGATAATAATAACAATAATAATATTAAACAAAAGGAAAACAACACAGTTTTGGAAAAATTTCTACAGCACGAAATTGATTGAAAACAATAATGATAATAATAATAATAATCATAATAAAGATTGGGAACTTCGAATACCATTTTTCCATTTTAACATAATAATAATAATAATAATCATGATCATTACTCTGTAAATATTGTTTTGATTATATAATGATATAAAGATAACAAGTTACTAACCACATAGTACATTATACACATAAATGTACATAATTATGGTATTTAAAAAAAACGAGAACAATAATTAAAGCATGGAACATTTAAATCTATTGATGTACTTGTGGATATTAAAATAATCATCAGATCAATGTATTGATTATTTCCTATCGAAAGAGTACATTACAGATTAAAATGTATTAACTTTTAACTATTTCTCTTAAAAAAAAATTTTTCTATAATGATTGTGTACATTAAAAAAAGTTTAATCATACGTGATCCATATCAACATTATTACCACTTGAAAACCAATCGTGATTTGATAGAGAAGAATTTAATTTTGAAGTTGAAGATGATAATAGACTACTTAATGTATCTACCATATCTGTATTTGAGCTGGTTACAGCATTTGTAGTTGAGGAATATGCAGTCACACCTGAACATGGTACACTGGAATGAGTTGTATTAGACGAATAGATTTGGGATGTAGGCTTAGATGAATTTAAAATTACGGACCAAGAAGGATTAAGATATGAAGATGAGTAGGGAATGGTTGGTGTATTTTCACTAATTTGCCGGAACTGTTTATCAAGACAATTAGATTTTGTAGATGAATAAGATGACGATGAATCAGAAGATGTTTTACTGGAACTGCCTGAACGCCAATAATGCAAATGAACAGGAAGATCCATATTTTGAAGTCGGGAATATGAAGAGGATACTGCAGTTGAACAAGGAGATTTATCATTAACAGCTGTTGTAACAGGTTTAGTAACGGACATGACGGATGCTATATGACTTGTAGTTGAACAAGTACGTAAGTTACTAACATTTACAGCTGAAATGAGCTGTTTCCCGTCGTTCGATGATAAAGAATCAGAGCGTGAATAATAGCCAGAGCTAGAATCAGACTCATTGGAATGAAGACGCGGTATGATTTCAGGGCATGATGTTTGTTGACATGATAATCTACTATCCGGAGGAAATGTCTGAATGTTTAAATTCACTCGTTCATTAATTTTTCTATTTGGAATAGACCATGCTGTTTCGATTTGAGGAGATATACCAGATACAGGAGATTGAGAAAGTTCACCAATCGAAACCTCATCTCTAAGAAAGTCATGGAAAGCATAACCAATACTTGATCCTACTAATTCAGTGGTACCTGAAGGGATATGAAAATGAAGGCTTGAGCGACTATCCATACCGGAAGAACAAGAATTTGAATCTAAAATTGTTTGTGAATGGTCAATACTATTAGTTTGTTTATTTTTATGCTTTTCATCAATACCTATGGAAGGATTTGTAAAGGAACAAGAATGTGGAAAACCAGATATTGTTTGATTTGATAGACTTGAACTTTGCACTTCTACAGAATGTTGTAAATCAGATAAATTTGAAATATTTGGAGTAGCGTCCGAGTTTGATTCCTTCTCTAAGACATCCAAAGCTATTTGGATAGCTAGTGGAATTTTAGCACCAGTTTGAGGTCGATGGGCTTGCATCCATGGATGTTGAAGGATTTCTAATAAAGATGGACGTTTAGATGGATCCATGTTTAAACAACTCCTAAAAATTTTAATAAGTATATATAAGCATAATCATCGAATCTATGTATAATAAATGAATAATAAGTATCAATGAAGAAAATAAAAGTAACATTAAGATTTTTTAGAAACATATTATTATAATTCGTTATAATAGTAAACACTGGTTTGCAACACAACTATGTCCATACAGTGAGTGAGCCAAATAATCTATGATCCATAATAGAAAGTTAAAGATCCAATCATAGGGTCACAACACTAAAAAAATCATTAATGGGGGATAATTTAAGAAAGCTTAAAAACTATAGATTATGTTAAAATATTTTAAATAATCAGGTTAATGGTCTTACAAAAAATTATCCAGCCTACGCGCATAAGATTAGACTGTATAGATACATTTCTTCAAGTGTAATTTAAAGTTCATTAACACCATTGAAAAAGCAATGATGTATTTATGGTGTTACATAGTACAACAGTCTAATTATAACATTAGATATCATTTGGAATCATGCTACTACATATTGGGGGATAAATTAGAAAGTTCAAGGTAAATTTGTTACTGGCATATGTGAGTGGAAATGTATATGCAAATACAAAGCCCGAAAGTTAGGTATTTAATCTGACTCTAAGAAATTTGATTTCGTACACTTTATCCAGTATGTAGTTTTAACAAGTTTCTTGCGACAGAAATGGTTATTATTAAATGCTGGTTCAAAAATGACGTAATTAACTTTCAGGAGATGTAACCGACTGATTACAACTTCCCAACAACTAAGATCAATTTATCTGTACTTTTTTGACTAGCGACGGTTATTTTACGTTTTTTATCATTAGTTATAAAACTACAAGGACAATATTTATGATAGATTTAGACTACACAATACTGACTATTACAAATAACAAAAACAGGTAACTACAAATATGTACACCAGTCACGTATAAATCTCTCATGCAAACGTCATAGCTGGTAATTTTTGTAAAATTTTTCATCAAATATTTAGATTAGTCAAGTAAACTTTTTGAATAACTAGTCAAAAGATTCGAATTAATTTTCTACCATTTGAGAAAATTATTTTTTTAAAAAGCTAGTCAGTTACAACGTAGAACGTGGTAGGTACATCAATTCAAGTTGTCATACTCCATTACCATAGAAAAATGAAATTGTCAGACCGGATCCCAGAATAGTAGAGGCAGTAACAGCATCAGTGGTAATAGGAAAGATTAGGCATCTAAGATATGATTCGGGTAAAAAAGAGTAAAATAAGAACAAACAAAAATTAAAATTTAACTTACGCAATAAGATGTTTTGCTGCTTCACTTATATTGTCTCGACGATATCGCAATTTCCCTCCGATAATACTTTTATCATTGACAAAAGGGATATCACCACATAACATATCATAGAGTAGTACACCTAAAGACCATACTTCAGCTTGTTTGCCATGATATCTATTATTTAAAATCCATTCAGGAGGACTATAAACACGGGTGCCTAATATAAAAACATGGAGTGCAACGAAAGATGAGAATATTAAGTACATGGGAAACAGTATTCATATAACGCAAAATCTCTAAATCTACTTTAACTCATGTTGTATAGTTTTAATCTTCCCATTGACGTTTAGGGCTGTTATTTGTCAGTCTCTTGTTGGCATATGTGCATACTGTGAGTATTGCCTCGATATTGCACCACGTCACATGCATTATAAACAGAGATGGCTGATGGCTAGCAGTAAAACCCAGGACGCAAGTTCCATCTTTTTTGGGACTCGTCAGCTGGATGTAACTACATCGTAGAGTTGATGTTCACTCCAGGGCTCGAACACAGTGCCTTTCGCCCCAAACGTCATCTCATTATCCACTTAGCTACTGAGTCAAGATAACCATTAATAATAAGGTGAAATTTAATTCATATTGTATTGGTTGTTTGAATTTCGCCATAGACGTTTATGATTGCAATGAATCAGTCTCAAACAGGACGAAATGCGCGTCCTGGTTTGTACTGCTAGCCACCACCCATCTATGCTTATAAAAACTACCTTGTTTATATTACGAATATTATAGATGACCACTTGTTTACCAAGTACTGGTTTGTACATGTAGCTTATAATCACATTCACAGTGAGTTTTAACTATCAAACTCTGCATCCCGAAATAGATGAAAGGGATTCCCAATTTGAGATTTAATTGTTGAAAAACAAACATTTAGACAACTAGCCAATCACCTTCATGCTTACAAAATAAAGTTGAACATGTAAGAGATAAAAAGCCAAATAAAACAAGCGTATGATCTTGGATAAATGTGTATCAGTATAGGTTGCTGTACATCATATTAACACATCAAAATGAAATTAACAAAAGAGAAGCCAAATAGTAAAGACATAGAAAGTAACAGTAGTACCAAACCAAAATATAAATAAGAGAGAGGAAACTGTACAATGAGAAGAATAGTGTATTAACGACTTAGGAATAAAAGTACTTGCACGGCTGAGACTTGCTTAAAACATGATCTAGTCTATTACTATATATTTTACGGTTATTTTACAGGTTGCACAATCAAAACGAAATGTATAACTTCCTAAACAACTCACACTAACAATTAATAACTTTATAAACTAGTATTGTATTTAAATCTGATTAACCTTAGTTCTTTCTTTTTTCAATCAACTGTACTTCATAATACATGTTAAAGGCAATAAGTAACAGTAAAATATTCTTTCTCACTTTACTCTTATTCACTTGAAATTGAAGTAACTTTCCATGTCTAAGGAAAGTTATCAGGAATTAAAAATTTGGTTAACAAGTTTTATATCAAGTTGGTTGACCATAAGATCAACCAAGTAAATCATCTTCAAAGGACGAAAACTGATATGATCAAAAGAAAGATAAGTAAAATAACATGACTTGTTAGACTAACTAGTGCAGCATCCTTGAAGTTTGCTCATAAAACATCATGGTCAACAAGAATTCAAACATAAACTATCAAAAAACGCGGTACATATAGGTTTTCTAGATACAAGACATTAGACTTATTTAAATATACTATTAAAATGGTAAATGAATCGAGCAACCTGACTTTCTCATCAACATCTGCTGATTTGTAATACAAAAGTTGAAAAACCTCCATCCACTAAAAAAGGTAGATTCCTTCTCCCAACAAAAAAGTGAAATAAAGTTGATTTTTAAATACTTTTTTGTTTTTACTCCCATTTAAACTTACCATCAAAATCTGTATACAAACGTGATTCCAAGAACGCGCCAGAACCGAAATCAATAAGTACCAATTCATTTGTTGTACGATTAATCAGAATATTTTCATCTTTAATATCTCGGTGTAATACACCAACTTTATGACATGATAATAATATACCAGTTAATTGGTGAAAATAAAAAGCAGCTTCACTTTCTGACAACATTCCACGTTCACCAATGTAATCAAACATATCACAAGTTGTACTAGAGACTTGATCCATAACAATTGCCCAAGATTGACCGAAATTAAAGGCATCTAATAAATTAACTATTCCAGGTAAACCTTGACACATAACAAGAAGTACAACTTCAATTGGCATTAATTGATTGTCCAACTAAACAAATATTATGACAAAAAGAAAGTAAGTGAATTAACAATATAATTTAGAAAAATGAATTATAATAATAACAGAGTAACTGATTTTTTTTGACTATAGCCATAATTGAGATACATACAACTTAATTATTAGACATATGGTCTTTTGACCCAGCACATGGACACGAGCAGTTCACATACATGAACAGACATAACGGTTAACAATCAATGATGGTTAACGACTAATTATGGTGGGAGAACAGCAAAAGTTCACCAACTAACCAAGTAGTTAATATTACATATGTATGTGTATGCGGATAAGACAACAAAGAATTTAGATATTCAGAGATTGAGACAAAACAACAATACAACTACAGCTCTGAGCAGTCTAGATTTTGGTCATACTACTTCGAATCAGACAAAGCTTATACAGAACAACTATAGTAAATTATTCATTGAGAATTATGGGAATAGGGATAAAATAATATTTTTGTAATTCCAGCACTACCTACGGTACTTGTAAATTAGATAAATAATAAACCTACTTATATACTGAGTAAAATTAAAAAGTAATGAATATGAAAAATTTAGAATATCAACGTGTCGAAATATTTTTTAATAAAAATTGCTAGTCCTTCTAAAAACAAACTAATATCATTTAAAAAATAATTCAATTCCTATCTTAACAAGTCTAAAAATGATAAAGTATATTAGTTAAGTTATAGCATAGGGGATAAAAACTCTAACAGCTACAATCACTTTTGAAATATAGTCGTCAATAGACCAAACTGGTCAGTGAATCCGATTGTCTAAAATAAGTCAAGTTAAATATATCGAGTGGTTTACTACTACTCAATAGGACAAAAAAAGTAAGTGTAATCAACTAATGATAGGTAGTTACTTAAGTTTGGAAATGATTATCGATTATTTAATTGTCTTCACTAATATAAGAAAATTTAATAAAAACCGGTTTCAAGTAAAGCCTCTTGAAATGGGGTGCTAAAATGAAGTGTAAACTGACAATTCAAGTAGAATCCCATACATCATTAACGATTACATGCCCCTAGCGCATTTCCTTTGACAATTAAAGTCCAAACACGATGAATACTATCTAGGAAAGATTGCAAGTCAAGTTGTGAAGCTGTAGGGACTAAAGTGACCAGAGCATGTTATGTGGTAAGTGCTAAAACGGTTTGTAGGGTGCTAGCATTCTAGTTGACGTACTTGATGCTCAGTTAATGGACCCCAGGAGCAAATCTGTCGAATTTATTCCGATCTGAACACTCGATATTTTAATAACACATCCACGTTTACATGTTTCTGAGTTACACTGTAAGAAAACAGTGATAATGCATGTCTTCTCAAACAGAAGTGAATAGAATGGTGTCGGATCTTATGACTGAACGGTTAAAGTCCTCTACGCATTTGGATTCCAAATTTGCCACTATTTCACGTGTCTATTTCAAGACTACAATTTTTATTTTCTTTCATCACATTGCCTTGGCGCCAAACAAATTTCACCGACGGACCACTGTTCAACTTAATTTAATGTTTTTATATCACTTCTTACATGATCAATAAGGTCAAACTCTGATCATATAAAACACATAAACTGTTTCTCAAAATAATTTCCATGGACGGCAAAATACGATTTATTTAAAAAAACATAGCTAAATCCCTTTCTAAAAAGATTGAAATTGAATTTATGTACTGAGAAGAAAGTCAAATGCTTTTATGTACAACGCGCTGGAGATAAGTTTAGAACTCTTAGGGGCTGAATTACACGTGCTTTGATATTCTAAACAAAATACTGATAACCTACAATATGTACAAGAATATTACACGATGGAGTTAGTTAACATGTTACATGGTACAAAATCCCTCTAGTTCCGTATATTCATGACTCTGACTGAACTGTCGAATGTAAATGAATTGGGGTATGTCTATCATGATGGAATAACAATTTGGAACTAACACAATTAATCTTAATTCATGACTGGTAAATGTATACTAATTTAATGAGTAACAAACAGCAGGTCCAAACAAACTAAATATTCTGACAAGTGCTGACTTCCTAAAGAATAATCGAACCTAGAAGTTAAAAATAAGCGAAGATATGTTACGATTGTAGAGCGAAAATCAAACAACTGACGGAGATATTTAGTGAGCAGTATATTTTGAATTACAACTTGGTGGCAACTTAGTGTAGAAAGTAAAAAAATGTTAACTAGTGAACAGAGTTTGTACCTTGCTGAGACTTCTTAATTCTAGGCAGAAGGATAACATTATTCCAAGTGCAGAAATGAGCACACAAGTCAAATACACGGATCAGTATTCGATAATACAGGTGGAATAAGTAAGCCAAAAGTGTACCGATAAATGATGAATCAAGTCCAGTTTTATATACTGACTTTAGGCTATACTATTTGTATGATAGCCAGTGAATAAACCCATTACGTACTGGTTCTTTCGTAAAGGTTACATAATTATCATGACTGCATTGGCGGTTGGCTCCATATATGTGTGTATTGTCATTATAAGTGATACAGCACTATGTAGCGCATCAAAGGATGGATCGGTGTGAACATTAATATAAAAGGATTTAAGCGAAACTACCACTAACTAAAGCAACTTAAAAACAGGCGGTTAAGGAAAGCGAAAAAAATGTAGTAAGACTTTTCGATCAGATAATTAAATAATTATGATGAAGCAGGAGCCATTTACTTTATTAAACATATTTACTTACCAAACACCAACATGGAACTTTATCTGATCGAACTTCTTTTACTACAACTTCTTTATTGTCAGATGTACGCCTAGCATGATGAACATGACCAAATCCGCCCGATCCAAAACGTTCACCAAGTGTATAACGTCGGAGAAATTCGTAATAACCTTCGTAAACCTCAACTTCTGTACATAATAAGAAACCAGGGATCGAAAGTTATTACTAACAATACCAACAAACCTTTACAAGACTAACTTGAATTGCGATTATTAGCAACGGAACAAACCACCCACAACTTAATTTGATTTACGAGGTTTGACTAAAGTAATGCAACCAAACAGTTAGGTACCAACGACGTTTCTTCACGTGGAATCACTATCGTATTTTTAAAGAGTGATTAAGAATAGGAATACGCCTTACGTTATGTCAATAACAAGAATACAAATAAAAATATAATTTGTGGGAATCTATAAACCAACGTTCGCTACGAAAAAAGCGCTGTACATCGGTCAAAAGAATCTACTTAGTTGATAAGAATGAAAACAGTCTACTGACTGAAATTCGAAATTAACTTAAACGTATGCAATATATTTGGGCAAATTTATGACAGGCAGTGCTCATTCACTTTCGGAAGATCACCACATACACAAATGACCAGCAACTGACAACAGACCCCAATCTAGCAAACTGAACGTTAAGACATCGAGCTTCAGTATATTCTCCATGTACAATAAAAAAATTTGAAAGTGCTTTAGTGACATACATTTTTTAGACTTTTGTAACATACAAGTTGATGTGGGGCGAAGAAAGCATTTAAGATCCAATCGAATTCAACTCAGTTCGAATTATTTTACTGGGATTCAGTATTCACATGTAGCTAATAGTATTACAGCATTGCTTAAACCAGGTGAAATAAAATAAAATTTCCCCTTCATGTTTAGTTGTGAACACAGTTTTAGTCCAAAAAACCTTAGTCTTGTATTCAGATACCGTACATTAAACAAGATATCAATAAACATGGAGTTATAAACTAAACACTTACGCAAACCAAGGTCTTGTGAGCTTCGTCTTACGAGCCTTCCACTTGCATAAGGGTTATTTAGGTTCTGCAGAGCTGTGTGCGCCATTGCATAGGTAATCCAAATATTAATTAGGTCCTGTTAAGCAACAAGTACGTAGACAGTCCATATAAAAATTAATGCAAAGTCAAATTTGACTAAGCTATTATAGTTCTAAGGTTTCCCACACAATTGTGAAGTTAGTAAGAACTAGTCGGAAACAGGAACCGTATAACTTAAACTCGCGTAAGCCTAATCTCAATGAGATATGGCGCAGTATCCTATCCGCCGTTAACTTCAGATTAACAACATCCAATGGCCAATAAAACAGCAATGAATGCTTGTTTAATATTTCATTGGTTCATTTATCTGTAGCCTTGACCTGTCCCTGCCTAGTTGTAGAATGAACCAATCAATTTACAGAACAGCTCCCATTGGACTATCTATTTTAAATATTCTAGTGTCTATCTGTACCTCCCACTACTCTTGTTTGTACATACCCTGTCCTCAATTCATCTGTTCTTCAGGTCATCCATTTAAGCAACCCTTCGATCACTTGATATTTGCTTCACGTGTTTTTTGTACATGTGTGTCTGAAGCAGATGACAAACATTGATGTTTATTTTTGGACACTATGGTATTTTAAACAGGTCAGGAAAATTAAACCCAAGTGAATCATCATGAGATGACTTTTAACGGTACTGTTATAGTGTTTTTAAAATGGAAGTAAGCCTTACGTGAATATTCCGTTGAATAATCTTCAGCATCTTCGACAAACACTATGCTTTGATGTAAAATAATTACTAACCTTAAGACATTTCACTACGTATATGCAATTAGTTCACTTTATGACTTGTCTTAAACGAATCTCTCACATTCATCCAGAATAATAAATGTGAACTACTACATGAAACTACTACGTATAAAAAATTGCTTACAAAAACAATTGTACAGCTTCAGGGAATGGTATCGGCGAAAAGAAATTTTTCTTCACTTAAATTCCTCGGTTCTTTTTAAATGAGAACCCGAAAGCTAAGTAAGAACTTCCTGAATGGGTGTTTAGAACCTTGCAACATGCAATATATATATATATATATATATATATATATATATATATATACTATGATATCATTGGTTAGTGCATAGCACTGAATAAGATTTATTGTGAACCTCTTCTTTGTTTTGAAGAATGCCTTGATGATTCTAGAGCAATTAGATTCCCATCCTACAATCAATGTGATTGCCTTGCTTTCTTTATTCTTGAGTGGTGTCTCTAGTTTACTATAATTCCTCACAAGATTCGTCGTTGTACCACATCGACATCTCATATGTTCTTCCCTTACAGCTTTTTCTGCTGTCATTGCCAGACCTTACACGAATTTCCGTAGACTTTGTGAATTTATTAGTGGTGCAAATATGGTCGGTCTGGTTCTGTGTGGTGTGATTCGGCGAGCCCCATGTAACGTTAAGCATGTGTTTGTGGGGGAATATTGTGCCACATACAACCATGTTGTTGAATGCACAAAAATTTGCCAATCTCTCACCATTCTCGTTCCCTCCTCCTAGTCAATCCATGTCATCTCAAGATATCTTAATACGTGGTTTTGTCCATTCCGACTTTGACGTTTATGTCTCCGACCAGAATGATCAGGTCGTTTCCTGAGCACTTCGCTATGATCGTTTGCAACTTCTCGTAATATTGATCTTTATCATCTTCACTGATATCATTGGTTAGTGCATAGCACTGAATAAGATTTATTGTGAACCTCTTCTTTGTTTTGAAGAATGCCTTGATGAGTCTAGAGCAATTAGATTCCCATCCTACAAGTGCTTCTTGTGTTTATTTGGACAACATCAGAGCAACTCCCTGAGTGTAAGAAGCACTTGGATCCAATGCGTTTCACTCATTCCGAGCATCGCCAAGTTGTATCTTCTCGTTTCCTCCGCTATTTTACACTAACCAGACGTTCCATGGATTGATATTATTTTCGTTGATCTGGTTATCGGAAGGGGAATCGATTTTATGATTTCTAAGGAAATTTGGCTTCCATTATAAAGAGCTTTATTCTTCTAAATGAATGTCATTCATTTCACAGGGCAGAGTTTGAATTGATCTTTATATGGTCCTTCTTTATCCAAGCTTGGACAGACAGTAACTCTAGAAGAGATTTAAGCCACAGTTTCATATAACGAACTGATCCTCGTTAGACAATCACTGGAAACAGTGAATGACTAGATGCTCGTTTCTTACAACCGTGGTACTTTTTAGCAATCCTCTATAGTTAATAACTTCAGGATGTAACTTTAGGTACTGAGTTCGATTCACTGATGCTCAGTTATGAATCTGCGTTCCTATAGAGTCCCAGACTAGGACGAGTTATTCATCCAGGGATTGCAGATTTTTATTGGCGATCTAGCTAACATCGGTCCATAGATTAAACTATGGAAATTCTGCAATCTACACTGATCGATTATAATAATATTATATATAGAAGAGGTGGGAACTTCCACATATCTAGACAGCAATCATTCATTTGAAAATAATATGGAAATCAAAACAGCTGTCTGCAAGCCAACACCAAAGTTAGAATCCTCAATACCAACGTCAAAACAATTCTACTATACGGTGCTGTAACGTGGAGAACTACCACAATCACTATTAAAAAGTACGAATATTTATAAACAATTGTCTACTGAAGATACTCAATGTCAGTTGGGCTGATACCATCAGCAACAACCTACTGTGAGAGAGAAAGAGTCGACTTTCAACTGAAGAGGAAATTAAGGAAGACACTGGAAGTGGATAAGACATATATTGAAGAAATCACCAAACTACATTATGTGGCAAGCGCTATCATAGAATCCTGAAGGGGAAAGGAAAAGTGTTAGACCAATGGACACATTGCGTCGGGAATCGGAGACAGACATCAAAAGAATGAATAGCGTTTGAGAAAAACTAGAAAGAATTGCTCAGGACAGAGTTGGTTGGAGAATTGTAGTCGACAGCCTTTGCTCCTCCACGAGAAGTAACAGGTGTAATTCAGTTAGTAAGTAATTGTTTTGGTAAAGGAATACTTGGTGGCGATAACTAATTTATTGTTTAATACAAAATTACAAATGGTCTTCATAACATTTTCGAAAACCATGCTTTAAATACTTCGTTTGCACATCTTCCATCAATTGTCTCTGGCAAAGTTGATCGTTCCTTCATTCCTGTTGTTATTACAATTACTCTCTGTTTACATTCATGTTTCCTCCAATTCGATGTTCTCAACATTCTGCTTTCAGGCATTCCACTTCTAATTGGTGTTACATACCACTTATGTTTGTCAACGTAAGTAACATACACCGCAAGTGAGTAAGTCTGTAAGTATATTCGTTGAACTTAATTGTAATTTCATTAGTTAATGTGCACTTCAAAATACTCTAAAATAAATTATATTAATAATTCTAGAATTTTTCAAATTAGTCATGTAACTCTAATTACTTCAAATAATTACCTAATATAAGAATTGTTCGATGTTTGAGGTTATTCTCAACGTTTTTGATGATCAGGAAATATATCGTGCCGAATACTTTCAGCGGGATTTTTTAATTTATTTAGTCATTAAATAATAACTGACTGATTTAAAGTTCTAACTTTCAAGCTATTTGTGTTTTCCGTCCAGCATGTTGAGCTGAGCTATATTGATATGTTTATAGCAGACGGTTGAAGGTAATTCCAGAAATTTCAAAATGAAATCTTTGGTGATGGTATCAACTACCCACTAAATGAATGAAAAATTAACCAAAATTCCTGCATATAACACACTTATTAAACAGAAAACATTTCGATTAACCTGTACAGTGTTCAATAATGAACGCCATGAACAGGAAACGACCACTTCGTTTATCTGATACTTGTTAGTGCCTACTTATGCTCTCATCATTTGTTTCATCATTCACAGTTTAAGTTTACTTAATGTTTAGAAGAAGTGTTATCTTTGAAAGCTTAATACTGACAATAATAGTTACAAGTAGAAAAGAAATCCTGACTTCAGATTATTGAAGTACAGTAATGATTTTTTTCAGTTTACTTATTATTAGCAAGCAAGTCACATGCTGCAATTTGTATGTGCATATGTATTATCAAAGTAACCGAAAGGCAACGAAAGAGAGGAATGTCGGTAGTGACCTCAAAAATATTTACTTTACTAATATGATGACCTGAATCAACAATTCCTCTGTGATAAGGTCAGGGTTAATGCTGATCGTGAGGACAGATTATGTGTATAATTATAATAAGTTAATATCCGGTAGGCATAGGAATAGAAGCTACTGATTCACTACATCATTATTCTTATTAAAATAAATCAAAATAACCAGTTAAGTTCCTCCTTGGATAGTTGCTGTTTTTTTCCTGCTAGAGAAACGTTTACTGCAAGTTTAGATAGTTTCGCTACTATTGGACAAAAAAGTTAGCTATTCATTTGGGAATAAATTGGATTACGCACTCTTCCCATAGTTTATAATATTTAAGGACAAGATTCAATTGAAGCAACCAATCTCAATTGTTCATATGAAATTCTGCCTACTTAGCTGTCAAGCTGTGTTAACAGACAGGCAGAAATGCACGTGATATGATGGACAACTAGATAAGCAAGTTCAAGGTCATTGTAAGAGGTCAGCTGTTCACCGATTATATTTGCCCAATTTAAGTTGTGACATCGACAATCATCCCACTAGAAAATATGATCATCACAAACATACATACAAAACACACTCAATTAGAAGGGGTAACATAATAGTGGGTGTGGATTCCAAAGCACGCCAATTAACTTCAAAATGAACAGACGAATTTTGTTTATATTTTCTCAACTTTACAATGTTAATCAGAGTTACATAAAGTAACACTAAGTGATGACGCCCTAAAAAGCTCTTTACTTTCAACATATATTGAGAAAAAAACATACATTCACAAATTTGATTTGAAACCATATACAACGAAGAGATGTTATTAACCACAGAAAAACAACTATGAAGTGTGAAAATACTTGAATAAAAAAATTCCAACAGAATGATCAAAGTGTTATGCTCTCTATTTAAAGCAATAACTAACTGCAAAACAGACCTGACTCAATACAGTAGGATTTTAATACGTGACCTGAATCTTAATAGTTCAATGAGCAGGCAATAGAACAACAGCTCCTCCGCTTTAATTTTACACATAAACAAAGACATGATATTCCTTGAGTACTAAGGATACATAAACCCATCGTTCTAAATCTGGAGCTATATGAGTGTTATATTCACATTATATAATGATAATTCTACAATCTCCACAAATTCCCTATACTTACAATAATCATGTGCTCATTAGTGGCGAACTTCAAGACGTAACTTCTGGAATTCTGGTGAGAAAACGTAATCAGTGGAGTCCAATCCGTTTCGGGCATGAGACAGTTA